ACCGGCAATGGAGATTGGAGGAACCTCGAGGGTAGGTAAGGATAGTTTCTTGACTAGATCTAGACTAATTAAATTTTGCTCTGCACCAGAATCAACAAGAGCTGACACAGGAAGGCGATCATGATTTATTTGGATAATAACAGGAAGCATAAATCGATGTGTGGGAGAGAGAGTAGAAGTTCCCACCAGTAACTCTCTCTTTACTGGTGGAAGTTCCCGTTTCCCCGAAACGGGCATTGAGCAAGAAAATGGCCAGGTCTACCACAATAAAAACAAAGTTTGGAAACAAAACGTCTCTGTCTTTCTTCTGGAGTTAAATGAGTACGACCAATCTGCATTGGCTCTGGGTCGGGCTGAGCAGGGAAAAATTCAGTTGTTTTTTTAGACGAAGAAGAAGAAGAACCGGCAACGGGTCTCTCCTGGTCTTTGTAGTTTGCTGACCAATTTTTGTAGGCGTAGGTCTCACCTGGTGACGTGAACCCGGAAGTGGAGTGATTGTGGGAAGTGTAGTCTCTCTCTCGTCTTCGCTCTCGGAAGCGCTCGTCAATAGCTATCGCTAGCTCGATCAGTTCGTCGAAACCCTCCGGCTCGTCTCTTAAGGCGATCTGATCTTTTAAGGGGTCAGAAAGAGAATTTAGGAAGGTACCTTGTAGTGCTGTGTCGGGCCACCCAGTCTGTGCAGCGATGATGCGGAAATCGAGGGCGTACTCCGCCACAGGTCGCCGGCCCTGGCGTAACCCCAGGAGTCGCTTAACGGCGTTGGGCTTCTGCAATGGACGGTCAAAAATTCGGCGAAATTCTTTTAACAAGGTATCAAATGAAACAAAATCCGGATCATGAAATTGGAAAAAGGAATTAACCCACCGAAGCGCTTCACCCTTCAGCTGGTGGGTGAAATAATTTATTTTTGCTGTGTCGGAAGAATATAACTGAGGTGCTCCTTTGAATGCTAGTTTGATCTGTAGTAAGAATCCTCCACACAGGCTTGGGTCTCCAGAGAAATATTCTGAAGGTTTCGTGATTACCTGTTGGATTGAGACCGGGTCCTTGGATTCCGCTTGGAACTTGGGTCTAGTAACAGAAGCTGGGGAAGGTGAAGAAGACGAGAGTCTTTGATTAAGAGCGTGAACCATACCTCCCAGTTCTCTCAAGTTGTTCTGTGTTTCATGTTGTTGTTCTAGAACTTGTTGGAGCCTCTCCTGGATGTGTTCCATCTCGGATGAAGAGGTGGCTTGTTCCTCTCTGGTCTCGTTCTGGGCCTTGTTTGGCTGGAGCATTTCTGTCAAGACTCGAGGAACCCAGATGGAGCGAAACCAGAAAAGACAAGACTTGGTTAGAAAACGTAGTGATGTTTATTATATACAGTGTCTATTTACAGTGGGTCATCTTTGGAAGATCCTGGAAGAGAGAGTTGAGTAAGTAGAGTCCAGTTGCAGTTCTTAATTTCTTTGTTTTGTTTTTCCTTACAGATGGTGAAGTAAGAGTTTGGCGAGGACGTTTAGTCACCAGGGTTGATCCAAAGGGAAGGCGGGACACTACTGGAAGGACAGGCGTGTGGCTGGAAGGCGAGGCACGGAGAACATGAACCAGGACCATGGAACTCAGAATCCAAACGGGAGCCAAGAAAACAGGAGGACTGTAGACACAGAAACAAAGGTAAGTACTTCTCATATTTTTCATATAATGGCCAAAAGCATAAATACCGAATAGGGTACAATGCTCCAGCGATGAGTCACACTGGACTGCAGCCTTAAATAGTAGCAGGAGCTCTTCAGATGGATGGCTGCCAGCTGGTGGCAATCAGCAGCCAATTAGAGGAGGAGCTGCAGGTAGTGGAACTCTCACAGTTAGCACTTCATCAGCCATAACATCAGTCATAATGCAGACTAGGTCCAATGAGGGCCCTTTTTACCACACAAGTGTCACTATGCAAATCTTTGTGTGTTTGTCATAGACTGTTATAAGCTCAGACATGTATTTAAATACTAGACTCCGTATTGAAATGTGCTGTTACAGCACAGCAAAGTCTCAGTACATGTTTTAAGTCATGTGTCTCCATGGAAACAAACAGGACCAAAGGCTGATGGTGCTACGCATCAGTCCACCTGGTCAGAGCATCAAACCAGTACAGAAATTTTCCCAACTTCCAATGTACTGATCACATGATCCAAAAGGTCCAATGATTCACATGTTATTTTGCTAACAAACAGTTGCTGTTGCATCTGGAGATAGGTGTTCTGGGTGTGTGTTGTGAATTAAAGGACAAAAAGAAATGTTACCCTGATATTTTTTCGTTTTTTGTTTTTCCCTCTTCAGGGGTCTCCACAGTGAGTCATCCTCCTCCATATCACTCTGTCCTCTGTATCCTCTGTTCTCCCTCCAACTACCTCCATGTCCTCTCTAACTGCATCCATATATCTCCACTTTGTCTTTTTCCAGGCAGCTGCATTTCTAACATCCTTCTACCAGTATACCCACTGTCCCTCCTCTGGACATGTCCAAACCATCTCAATCTGGTCTCTCTAACTTTATCTCCCAGTTGTTCAACCTGTGCTGTACCTCTGATGACCTCATTCCTAATCTTATCCATCCTTGTCACTCCTAAGGAGAACCTCAACATCTTCATTTCTGCCACTTCCAGTTCTTTCTCCTGTCTTTTTATCAATGCCACTGTCTCCAGACCATACAACATAGCTGGTCTAATGTTTTGTAAACTCTCCAAAAAAAATTCAATCTGGTCCTCTGGACATTCAAAGAAAACAAAAAACAAAACAAAGCAAAAAAATGTAGAAACGTTTTGTCTCCCATCCGAGAGACTTCCTCAGTCTGAGGTGCTGTATTCAGCTCAGTCTCTTAAATAGCAACTTCTCAGCGTGGATCAACCAGTTTGCTGCTGACAACCAAAACCAGCTGCTCACATGGTCAAGAAGGACCATCAGCCTAACAATGGATCATTAGCACACTGATGGCTGTGTATCACCTGACTTTTCAGGTGAAAAGGAGGAACCCAGACCAGTGGTCATTCCATATGTTGAGGGAGTATCAGAGAAACTGAGACGTTTATTTTCTAAACATAACGTCCCAGTGGCTTTTAAACCCCCAAATACATTACGGCAAAGACTGGTTCATCCCAGAGATCCAGTCCCCCGGCACAAACAGAGTAATGTTGTGTATGCTGTTCAGTGTCAGGAGGGTGATCAGTCCTACATCGGGGAACTAAACAGCCACTGGCCAAAAGGATGGACCAGCACAGAAGATCAACATCATCAGGCCAGGACTCTGCGGTCTACACTCATCTCCAGGCCAGCGGTCACTCTTTCAAGGATGAAGATGTTCACATCCTGGACAGAGAGGAACGATGGTTTGAGAGAGGAGTAAAGGAGGCCATCTTTGTGAAAAGAAATCGTCCATCATTAAACAGGGGTGGAGGCCTCCGGGTTCAACTGTCCCCCTCTTACAATGCTGTGATTGCTAGTATCACTCAGCCCTCTGTGAGTAGTAAACAGCCATCAGTGTGTTAATGACCCATTGTTAGGCTGATGGTCCTTCTTGAGCATGTGAGCAGCTGGTTTTGGTTGTCAGCAGCAAACTGGTTGATCCACTCTGAGAAGGTGCTATTTATAAGACTGAGCTGAATACAGCACCTCAGACTGAGGAAGTCTTTCGGATGAAAGACGAAACGTTTCTATATATTTTTTTGCTTTGTTTTGTTTTCTTTGAATGTCCAGAGGACCAGATTGAACTTTTTTGGATTTTTCTACCTGGATTATTGAGCATGCATCAGGATATTTTGTAAACTTTCTCTTGCTGACACCATTTTTGTCACAAATCACTCCTGAAACTTTTTTCCATCCACTCCATCCTGCCTGGACTCTCTTTTTCACCTCTTTATCACACTCACCATCACAGTGGAGCCCACGTACTTGAAGTCCTGCACCTTTGTGACCTCTGCTCCTTGTAGCCTCACTGTTCCACCAGTCTCCCTCTCATTCACACATGTACTCTGTCTTACTACGGCTGACTTTCATTCCTCTTCTTTCAAGTGCATACCTCCACCTCTCCAAGTTCTCTTCCACCTGTTCCCTGTTCTTACCACAGATCACAATGTCATCTGCAAACATCATAGTCCACGGGGATTCCTGCCTGACCTCATCTGTTAATCGGTCCATCACCAGAGCAAACAAGAAGGGGCTCAAAGCCGATCTTTGATGCACTCCCATCTCTACCTTGAAGCTATCTGTCACTCCTACAGCACCACTGTCCTGCTGTCCTCATACATGTCCTGTACCTGTCTAACATACTTCTCTGCCACTCCAGATGTCCTCATGCAACACCACACCTCCTCCCTCGGTGTAGGTAGTTTTGCCAAAACTGTTATGCGAGTTCCTCTAAGCGTGATAAAGGCAGTGCAAACAGATGCACTTTCATTTTGTTGATAAAGCACCTTCATTTAGGATAAAAGCTGTGGTTAATGGTTTTCTACACTGCAGGCAGCATGAACTCCGGCCAGCCGCCTGCACAAAACCACACAGGGAAACATTCTGCTTTAAGACAACATCTCTGGTAGTTCAGCAGAAACGGGTGCTGTACTGAAACGGACCTTTTGTAGCTTTTTGTTTTAACTTCATGACAATATAATGTTGTTTTGTTAAAGAGTGACCTGAATCCAGAACATTAACTGGACTAAAGGAGAAATTTTCCTTTTCACGTGTGCCCATCATGCCCTCAGATGACTGTGACTCAAAGAAAGACACAACAGAGACACCACTTCCTTTGTCTCTCAGTGGACTCCTTTTTTTCTGCTCCACCTCCTGTCACAGTCAAACAACAGACTGAGAACGCTCCAGCACCAGTGACCATACTGTTTTTTGGACACTTGTCCACCTGGAAAGCCTCCTGTATCTGGTTGGAGCATCTTGTTTTTATGTGCACAGACTTTTGGAAAAGATCAAAAGGACTTGTAATGCCTCTCGTTTCATCCTAGAAGTGAAACTCAGAAGATGTCTGACGCTCTGTGCATTGAGGGATCATTGTTTGGTGAGTCCAGTTACAAGTAGAACAGTAGGTTGGTTAAAAAAAATTTAAAAAAATAAACATGTAAAGATTTTATTTTATTTTTTCTCTTGCAGGCTCAGAACAAGGGCAGCAAGGTATCCACATGAACCTTTTGTCTCCAACACATACAGCAACAAATCATTATGTTTTAGTTTTTAAACCTTGTTCTTTTTTTACGCTTCCCTTCAGATTGTGCTTCCTGTTACCTGATTAACATGAGCTCTGTCATGGGCGCTTTTGTAGCTGACATCGTTTTGACCATCTTCATCACCATCTCTGTGTTCTGCTTTGCAACACGCCACAGGAGGAGAAGGGAACGGGATTCCCACGACAGTGCGTTCTCCTCTTATTTACTTTTATTCTTGTTTGGTTAGAGAGCAGCAAACTGATCATTTTCCATCGGCGAACAGGTAAAAGAACTGTACCTTTATCAGCTTCAAAGAAAACGATAGAAGAAGCCACAGAATCTCCATACCAGGTAAAAACATCACTTCTTTTATCTGTTAAAAACACGACTTTAGAAAGTATATTAATCATTTTTTTAAATCTATTTTGTTTTTTTTTCAAGGAGTTACATGGAGTCCAGTCAGATGTCTACAGTGAGCTGCAACATTTTAGGAAATGACAGTAAAACAGGACTTAATAATGTAATAAATAAATTAAATTAATCTAACTTCGTGTCCTCAATTAGTTTTTGATGTATTAGAGAACACCAGCTTGTAATTTATCGTCTGGGAAACTTGTAGATAATGGTAAAAACAGTGTACAGTTGATTTAATGTTTTGTATTTTTTAATGTTTTTCAATGTTGTGGTGAGCGTGACATTTCCTGCATCCTGTCATTTAAATGTTTCTGTAATTAATGAATCTTGGATTAAACAAAAGTTTAAAAAAAAAAATCCTTTTTGGCTTGGACTATTTCAGATCAAAGTCATCACTGTTTGTGCGGCTTTCTCTGTTCAACCAATAAAAGTGACGCACGACACAAAATTCAATCAAAACTTCTTTATTTCTTACATTCTTCTACATAGTCAGATAACAAAGATGTATTTAAAGACAAAATATATATACATAAAGCAAATGTCTGCTTTCCACTGAGTCAACAGACGGTGGCTCCTGAGTCATTATGAGGAAGATGTGAGCTCTGAAAATAAAAGCACACAGAAGGAAAATAATTGTGATACGGTCACAACAGACTAAGGGCTTGGATGTAGGAAACTTATTCCACAATTAGACGAAATGTGGGAAAATACGAGCAGCGTCTAAAAATAAGTTTGGACGTAACCGTGTGACGAAGAAGAAACAGACCAGATCATCAGACAGCTCGGATCTTGGTCGGAGCAGAGAGGCCGCTGGGTTCTGATGGAGTTCAAACAGGAAACAATATAAATCAGTAACTTATCTTTATGTGTGGGTGCATCTTATTTACTGTTTGTCGTTTTCATCTCAGGAAGGAAAAAAACGTCCTTACTCAAAAGGTAGGTCTCAGAGCTCGTATCTTCTCTGCTCTCTGTGGGAAGATTCAGTTAAATGCTCACAAGTACTCCTGAAAAGGTTTGGTTGTCTCTTGAGTAACAGACGATTTGTTCTCACCATCATATTCCGTCAGTTTGCTCTCGTCTTCTGCAGGAAATCTGTCGTTTTGCTCCTCCAAACTGTCCCAGTCCGGCATCTCTCTGCTTCGATCCAGAACAAACATCCGGTTGACTCTTCCTGCCCTCTGGACATCAGAGCTTTGCCTGGTTCTGTCAGACACCGCCATCATTCCCTCTGTGCTGTTGTGATCAGTCTGATTACTTGCTTGGAGTTCCCCTCGAATCCGAATGTTTTTGCCAACTCGTGCCATCCTCCTCGATGGGACCTGCTCTTTGGCCACAGCTTTTGGAACCAGGATCTCATTGCTGTCAATGTCTAATGGGAGAGTTAAAGTTGTTGATGTGACATCTGCACACATGTGGGACATGTTCAGACCGTTTGACGATGGGCTCTATTGGAAGTTGCCATCTTACGTGAATGACTCCAGTTTGGAGAAGCGGTTCAGCTTTCACCAGATCGAAGAGCTGATAACCATTTTAAGCAAGGCTGAGAACTAAATGAGTTGCTGCCATCTTAACACAACTCCAGTCTGTAATTGTTCACAGCACTTCAAACAAACATTCTGTTATAAACTGTTATTCTGGCCCAAATACATATTTCTATCAGAAGTGCTTCAGACTGCACCAAAAATACCATAAATCCTGTATGTATTGAAACCATTGAATCATACATAATAACACTATAATGTGAACTTGACAGCAGCGTAAAGATTTATAAAATGGTGTTCAAATAAAAATCTTTTCATTTGATTTGTTTTAAACCGGCAGCAATTCACTTTGATCTTGGCCTCGCCAGCGGTTAGCTCGTTCATCTTCATTATTAAACGCTGCTTCCCCAAACTGTGGTCAATATCAGAGCTATCGTCAGCAGGTAAGATATTAATTGTTCACAATGCTTTCATAAAATCCCACTCTAAAAGATCTGAGCTTTGTTGACTATGGATAAATTAAATTTTGATTGTACTGCACCTTTGCTTTCTTCGCTTTGGTCAGATGCCACAGGTTCTGAAAAAGTAAGAAATGTTTAGGTTTTCTTCCTTTAAAATAATAATTATTATTAATTTATGAAAATATATAAATCTACTTACCTTGATATGTACCGGTCTCAAAACTCTCTCTGGATTTTGTGTCAGATAAATCTGAAAAGGAGTCATTATTTCGGAGCAACAGTCAGTTTGGATCTCAAATGGATAAATTTATTGAAGTTAAAAAAAAAAAATCTGCACCTTCAGAATCTTGGACATTTATGGGTCTGCTTGAAGAGTTTCTATGTCCTTTAGACATGAGAGGGCGAAAAAGCACAGATAGTGTCTTTACAAACAAATACTTTCAATAAGGGGTTCTGAAAATGAAAAAATAAAGTAGAAAATTAACATTTCTTTTTTTTATGTTCTCGTTTGTGAGTTTCTTAGGGAATCAAAAGTGGTTTGAGGATCTGGTGAGAAAAGTGAAAAAGCACATTTTGTAGTTTCAAACCAACATGTCTCTGAGAGCATCCTGCTTCACAGACCTGTGATCTTTGCAGGGACGGTCTTTTCCGTGATCGTGGCCAGAGCTTCTATAACAACAAGTGAGCAGCATAAGAGATCGTTTCAATTTTATTTTGCAAACATCATTCAAAAAAAAAAAAAGATAAATCTCACCATTTAGAAAACTTAACACGTTCTGTCTTTCACCTTGAAAAGAACGAAACAGTTTGATCGAACAAATCACTTCTCTTTTTTAACTAAGAGTTCAATAAAAATGAATGTTTACCTCTTACTGTTTCCACCATGGCTGCAAGAGGAAGCAGGAGCAGAAAAATCCTGAAGCTGAAGCAAAAGATAATTTGTGTCAACATTAAGAGAAACCCTTAATTATTTAGAAAAAAGAGAAAATCTTACAGCTTCATTGTTGATTTTGTCCCCGGCCGTGTCTTCTGTTCATCACAGTTCAGTTTGGGTTTTTATGTGCTGCTTTCAAGGCCCTACCTCCGCAGGTAATTACAGATTCCATCAAATCTATCAGATGGAGTCAAACAGATCTGTGTTTGTGAGGGAGCAACAATTAAAATTGTTTATGAGTTTACAAAGAACTATTCAACAGGAATACAACTGCTCTTTCAAGCCCACAAAGTGAGCTGTCTTTTAATTATGTCCTGATTGCAGGAAGCTGCTTTCTTTAAAAAAAAGAATGAAAGAAAAAGAAAATGCACCTGGATTTTCCTTTGGCTTTAAAAGATGCAGCAGACCATGTGTTATGTGGTATTTATCATCATTACTCCCTTGTTCATTCATCAGATGGAGCCGTTCCCTGACAAAGACTCTTTGAAAATCCCTTTTTTTTTAATAAAAAAGGATCCTGTGTTGGTGTAGAATGTCCAAAAGAACAAAATGCAGCAATTTGCTAATTAGAAAAACCCTGAATTTGACTTAATAGCCTAAAGGATATTGTAGTAAATGGTGAAAACACGTTTGATACAAAAAAATATATTTTTAAAAATTCTGAGTGTAAAGTCAGCAACACTTTTCAATTATTATTTTTTAAATAATGGACTAATTTTTTTAAATAAATAAATCTAGAATGCTGACAATTTAGCATTAATGTAATGTCTACAGATTGTTTAATATATAATTTATATTGGTTTGAGGCTAAAAACAATACATATTGTCTCTGAAAAAAATGTCGATTGGATCAGCGCACCTGGTTGCTCTCTTTGTTAGCTAATTAATTTATATTTTAATTTATGTTCTACCTTTGCTGAAGGGAGGTGACCCCACCATCAATCAATCTCTAAGCTCTGCATTTTAGCAAAAATTCTAGAAAAACTGATAAACTCTCAAATCAAACATGATCTGGACTCATTTAACATCTTACCTCCACATCAATCTGGTTTCAGGAAACAACACAGCACAACCACTGCTTCACTGAAGGTTTTTAACGACATCGTTGAAGCACTGGATGCTAAAGATTATTGTGCTGCACTTTTCTTAGACCTGTCTAAAGCTTTTGGCACTGTGGATCATGACATCTTGTGTCATAAGCTCTCAGAAATCGGTTTCTCAGAACACACCATTGGTTGGTTCACTATCTTTCAGATCGGAGACATTGTGTTCAACATAATGGTACTTCCTCCAGTTATTAACATAATGGTACTTCCTCCAGTTATTTAACAGTCAACAATGGTGTACCACAAGGCTCAGTCTTAGGATCCACCTTCTTTACAATCTATAGGTAATGTACTGTAGGTCAGAGCATCCCTGATGCCTCCTAACACTTCTATGCTGATGACACAGTTGTTTATTGTCGAGATAAAACAGTTGCTAAGATTTTCCAGCTTTTGCAATCCGCTTTCGACATCATCCAGTCAGATTTGTTCCGTCTCAAACTTGTCCTAAACACAGACAAAACCAAAGGGATGCTTTTTACAAACAGGAAGTCAGTCCCAGCGGTTCTTCTTTAGATTTTATCCTCAAATGGTGTCCCAATTGAGTTTGTTGATTCCTATAAATATATGGGTATCTTGGTCGACTCGCGTCTCTCTTTTAAGCTTCACGTGGAAAACCTAGTAAGGAAACTGAAAGTTAAACTGGGGTTCTTTTTCAGAAATAGATCCTGTCTAACTCTGAATGCTACGAAACGCCTCGTAACTGTGACTTTCCTTCCCTCCATTGACTATGGTGACATTATTTACATGAACGCTCCTATAAGCACCCTGCAGATGTTGGATGCTGTCTATCATGGTGCACCTTATACTCCTTCTCGGGCTTTGAGATCATCAGACCAAAAACCAGGCTGAAGCTCAGAGGAGATCGAGCGTTCTCAGTCGTGAGCCCTAAACTTTGGAACAATCTGCCCATCAACATTCGACAGGCCACCTCAGTCTCTGCTTTTAAAGCTCTCCTAAAAACACTTCTGTACTCACTGACATTTAACACAGGGTGATCGGATTTAGATTTAGTTTTTCATTGATGCTGATTCTGTTTATGCTTTTGTTATTATTCCTATTTAACACAAGGTCATCTGATCTGATTTAGTATTTCATTGTTTCTGACTGAGTTTATGCTTTTTGTTATTATTTCCTTGACTTTTGACACAACGTGATGTGATTTAGTATTTCAATGTTTCTAATTGTTTTTGGTTTTATATTTTTATTCCATGTGCTGTAAATATATCTTGCTACTTTTTATCTGATGATATGATATTTTTGTTAAGCACTTTGGTAACAGTTTCTGTTTTAAATGTGCTCTATAAATAAATCTGACTTGACTAAGAAACATACAGTAACTGGTTGTGACTACCATACCCACCATTGCACCCTGTATTCACTGGTTAACTGGTCATCATTAACATCACAAAGACTCTCTCACTGGTACATTTTCATCTTTAAATCACTTCTTGGTCTGCTGCCTTCATACATCTCCTCCTATATGTCTCTGCGTGAGTGCAGCTACAGCGTGCGCTCTCAGGACATTGTTACCTGTAGTGTTCCCTCTGTGAAGACTGAACTAGGCAAAAGGGCCTTCTCCTACTCCACTGCTGTTTCCTGGAATATCTTGCAAAAAGATCTGAAGCTCTCAACCTTGTCCTCTCTAGTGGCTTTAAACATCTGCCCAGTTCCTGGCAAAAACCAACAGAGACATGTTCCTGTTTTTAGTTTTCTACACCTCCTTACAACCTAGCTGTTTTGTTACATTTTCTTTTAAATACCATTTTTATTTCCACTTGTTAAAAAAAATTCTTAATTTGTATGCATCCTTTATGATTGTCTATTGTTGTCATCGTTATCCTCACTCTGTTAAAATCAGGTCTCTCTTGTAAATAAGTCCCTGAGGCTCATGAGACTATATAAATAAAGGTTGAATGAATTAATATAAAATGTAAGCAGATGTTTGTCAGGACAAAAACAAACGTTTCTACTTTTACTCACAACTCATCTTTAAAAAAAAAAAGCCCAGAATGAGAAAAAAATTGATCTATTATACAATTTTTTTTTTTGTTTGTTTGTTTTATGGCATAAAATTTCCTTTGATTAAACTTGTTTGAAACTGTAAAAGCTGTGAAAGATTAAACTAAAAAAGTGTCCTTTGATCAGCTACATGTGCACATCAAAATGTTTCTGAACCAGACCTGTTGGTGGCAGAACAAGTAAAAATCTGCCCATAAAACAAATGAAAAAGGAGCGCGCCCTCTGCTGGAATAACTGTTTGCACTAAGCTCGGTTGATCTCGAGCATCGCCATATTGACGTCCCAACAAGGCTGAGAAGGTAATCGTGCTATTTAATCGCAAATCCTCGTTGTTTTAGAACCGGTGTGGACTGCTTAAGGTGCGAGGAGAAGCTGGGGCAGAAGTAATTCAGCTGTAGTGCCATTGTGCTTCTCAAACACGGCGTTTATAGGATGTTTTTTCAAGGCGTTGTCGCGCAGTTGCCTCGCTAGTAGCAGTCTATTCACTCCCCTAGCTTACTAGCTTAGCACTTTTTAGCTCTTAAGAATTATATTCTTCGAAGCGTGACGTAAAGTCTGCGATACTTAATGGCCTGTAAATGTTAATTTACTGATTACACATTATTATTAAATCCCAATCGCGTTCTGTAGTGTGGTCGAGAGCAAAGAGTGACTTTCCAACCGGCTTTTTCCACTTTGGCGTTAACGAGCTAAAACTAGTTAGCATCCCAGCCAGCTTCCAGGTGTTGTATCGAGTTATGTTCCCTGGTCTAGAGATCCGCTTTGCCAACAGCTCCACCCCTTTCAGGCGACGGATGAAACGCGTGTTTGCAGCAAATTTGCCTCTGACGTTGCCGTTGAGTCGGGGGCGGAGCTGCTTAGTAAGCGCATCTCGACAGGGGAACGCAATACTACAGAACACCAGTTATCCATTCCACCGGTTCTACGGCGAGTTAGCCGTTAGCAGTGCTTGGGCCGTGGGCCGTAGTGCGTACTCAGACCTTTTTCCTTAAAGTATCATGCGGGCAAACCGTTTTTAATTAACGTGTATCACGAACTAGTAATACTGTTTTATCGATTGAATGCTTCCCGTGGCTGTATTTACTTTACACGAACTAATTATCATTAGCTTTATTAGTTTGCTCGTGTTTGCCTGATTGACTATCGATTTAATTCAGCCCACTTTCTGGCTTTTTCCTCTCAACAGGAGGCGTTTGTTATAACCCCAGTGATGACTGTATTGAACCCTGTACCTCCTGATTAGACTGGTTGGACGCCCCCATTTAACACACAGGTTTCTCCATTTCACACTGTCAAATGTAAATTGAATTGTGTGTTTTAATTTAAAATGATAACGTTTGTCACTGTAATTTGTTTTCATCTTGTTTTGTTTTAAAGAACATCCTATCCTATCAAACCTTTTGTTCCCCAGTATTTAAAACCAATGCTGCTAATGATTGCATAAGATTTGAGGTAACTAATTTTTTTTGTTTTTGTCTCATTTAGTTTTCTTACCATAAAGACACCCCAGCAACTCCGGTTAACATTATCACTATCCTGGAGGAAAACTCCCAGGTAACGTGCTATCGACACTCAAATATTAATGTATCTTTAAGGTCCTCACATACTCGGGCGTACTGTCATACTCGAGCGTACAGATTTTAATTCTCTCGTGACAAATTCCTTCATTCCTCACAATTTCAGTCATGGCGTCAGCAGGCGAGAAGGAAGAGATCTTGTCTCTTGGCAATAAAACAAAAGAAAAGAAGGTGATGCTTAAACAAGACCAGGGATGAAGAAGGGGAATTTAATACACTGGAGGACATGAAGACAGCGAGAAACATTTTGAATATTTTCAAATGGATTCTAGCAAGTTCGATGAGCTAGTTGGGCTCTTAGCCCAGTTTCTTCACCACCAGGGCAGCCACGGCACACCTGTCCACGCTGCACAGAGAGCTGCAGTCACGCTGCGCGTCCTTGCGACTGGTTACTTGGAACACAGAGAGCGGTTGGTGTCGCATACAAAACAGTTCGTTGCCGGGCAGTTTATTGTGCGACACAGCGTACGCGGTCATAAAAATGTATCTTTGCACGGACATGTCCGGCAGACGTCCGCGTTGAGTGCACCTCGAGTGCGCGCGGACCTCCGCGGAGTGAAGTATGCCCGAGTATGTGGGGGCCTTTACTGTATTGATGATCTGCTCATTTAGTATCCAAACTGCATAATGTTTTGTTGATACTGAGGTTAAAATGGTTTGTACGTTTTGTTTTTGTCTTGTTACAGGACATTTTTTAGAAAAGATTTTGTGCAGAATATGTCTGGCCCTGTTCCAAGCCGCTCTCGAGTTTACCCTGATGTAAACACACAGAGGCCTCGGGAATACTGGGACTATGAGTCCCATGTTGTTGAATGGGGGTAAGAGAAAAATATATATATTTTAGTGATGCTTTAATTTTTTTTTCCTTTCTTTTGATGCTCTATTCATCTCGGCATTATTAATGAATAGATGTTTTCCCCCCTTCTCTTAGTAACCAAGATGACTATCAGCTCGTCAGAAAACTAGGAAGAGGCAAATACAGTGAAGTATTCGAAGCCATAAACATCACAAACAATGAAAAAGTGGTCGTTAAAATACTGAAGGTAGGACAGTTATGGCTTGGTTCAGACAAACAGTTATTTTCTCTTTTCTGGGGGGATTTTCTGTGATCTTATTAACTTTTTCTGGTTTGCAGCCTGTCAAGAAAAAGAAAATCAAGAGAGAAATAAAGATCCTGGAGAATCTGAGGGGTGGTCCAAATATCATCTCACTGTTAGATATCGTTAAAGATCCTGTGGTAATTTTGAGTTAATTTATGCTGAGTAAAATTACACGCGTTGTATATTTACGTTTCATGCATAAACTTTTCTTATTATTATTTTATTTTTAGTCTCGAACTCCTGCTCTGGTCTTTGAACATGTCAACAACACAGATTTCAAGGTAACAAGTGATTTTATTTATTTATTATGTTACTTGCAATTTTGACCTGGCTAATACAAAATGTTTTTTCTGTTTAAATGTTTTTTCATTCAACAGCAATTGTATCAGACACTGTCAGACTTTGACATACGGTTCTACATGTATGAAATCTTAAAGGTAAGCAGTACTCTACATTTCAAATGGCATCTCTAATAAAAGAGCAGTTTGAGGTTCTGTGTTTAGTTTTAACATCTTAAATTCCTTTGTTCCATTTGACTCAAAAGGCTCTGGATTACTGCCACAGTATGGGCATCATGCACCGTGACGTAAAACCCCACAATGTAATGATTGATCACGAACACAGAAAGGTACGGTCGATGATCCCGATTAGTTTTTCATACAGTTTATGTACAGATTTTAAAATGTACGCAAACTTGTCATTCCAGCTCCGTCTAATTGACTGGGGTCTGGCAGAGTTCTACCATCCAAACCAAGAATACAACGTGAGGGTGGCGTCCAGGTACTTCAAAGGCCCTGAGCTGCTGGTAGACTACCAGGTGAGGTCAATCCCAACCCAACATTTGCAGAAGGAGAGGAGAAATGGAGAGGAGTGAAGTAAGGGATTAAATGGAAGCTTCTCTGCCTCTATTATTATTTTTAGATGTATGACTACAGCTTGGACATGTGGAGTCTGGGGTGCATGCTTGCCAGCATGATCTTCAGAAAGGAGCCTTTCTTTCATGGTCATGACAATTATGATCAGGTATGATCTATCTGCTCTTTTTTTAATTAAAATATTTTAATGAATTCATTATGTTGGTGTGATAGCAGTGCCAAGATTGTTTTTACTTTACAGTATATAGCATCTGAACTTCACCAAATAAATCATATTTGAACATTATACTTTTATTTTTTATTTTTATAGGTTATAATTGTTTATTTTTTACAGATTTTTTTAGAGCTTCATTTGTATACTTTCTTAGTGTTTGTGACTTCTACATGTGCTTTGATTATATTGTAGCAGGTTATGCTAAACTTGCTGCTTGATTACCGTAATTTCCGATCTATAGCACGCACCGGACTGTTAAGTTGCGCACACTGAATTTAAATTATAACGCAGTTTTGTACATAAGCAAGACACCTATGTATACGCCATAGGTGTCCATTATATCAGAAACTGTGCACAGCTCTTGTTGTAGTACAAGAGTCAACCACAAGATGTCAACTCATAGACATTACCAATGTGTTTGCTTTTCAACAACAAGCAGACTGATCAGATGTAAATGGACTGTACTTATATAGCGCTTTTCTATCTTATTTCAAGATACTCAAAGCGCTTTACACAACAATCTGTGTCCTCATTTACCCATTCACACAGCACTCTACTAGTAGAGCTCTACAAAGCTAATTGAACAAATCATTCTAAAGAGACTAATCAGAGCTTTATCACATTCATACACTGATGGGACACACATCAGAGGCGATGAGGGGTTCAGTGTCTTGCCCAGGGACACTTCGTCATGTGACTGCTGGTGGATGTCCATGTAAGCAGCTGCTCTCACTCATGGTTTCATCTACTGAATAACCTTCATCCTACAGAATTAACAGAAAACAAATAGACTAAAGCCCTATTCACACGGGATTAGTTTTATTTAGGGACCAACCACATGAAATAAATAAATTACTCCCCAACGTCTGCTTTTTATGTGGCACATTCTCACAGGATAACCAAAGCCTGAGATTTAGCTGAAATTTACGGACATCTTCCGGATATGATGTTAACGCGCTGCAAGTCACATTAAGCTCAGATGGACAGCTGTCACCGGCTGCGCACGTCCGCTGACCTGTCGGTTGAAATGGACTTGCAACTTGTCCAAGGTGTCTCCCACCTCTTGTACAGTGATAGCTGGACATGGGCACCATCGATCCCCGCTACCCAAAAAGGAAGAAGCGGGTAAATATAAATGGATATATCGATCAGCTGATCACCGGCTGCGTGCGTCTCCACACCTGCTGTCATCTGCGATGAAGGAAGTTGCAGCATCTACAAAAGCCGACACGAGCAGCACTTTCATTTAAAATTGCCTTTTCTATATTTTTCCAAATGATTTTGCTTAGAAAACTAAAACAAAAACGCCTCATTACGTATCGGATCCTGCCCATTTCTGTCCAAATCACAGAGATGCCTATTCACGTTGGATTAGTATTATCGCAGGATCTCGGAGTTCAGCAAAATATAGTAGGTAATTTGCGGGGGAATTTTTACTTTACAAATTACTGACATGGCCGATTCGCACAGGATTAACAATACAGACGAGCTCTGTAATTATTACAAATAGCATGTGGTTCCCTAGGTAAAACTAATCCCGTGCGAATAGGTCTTAAGAAGAACAGACTACCGGTAATCAGTAAGTACACTTCTAAATTACCGTATTAAAATTTGACATACCAGTAAATTTACCCACAATTCACAGTCACAGCAGAACATGTACCATTAAGTTGGTAATGGTAAATGTTCATTAAATTATTGTCATTGATTTTTATTGTTGAGCAAGTTTTTGGTAACAGTTGCTCTTTTTAAAATATGCTTTATAAATAAATTTGACAACTTTCTGCTGTGCAGCACACAAGTCGTGAGAAAAGGTTTGTAGGCTCAAACATCCAAGTAGTTGACAAAAAAGGTTAAATCATGTCATCTGGACCAGTTTCTTTAAGGAAGAAATGTTTTGTCTTCCATCAGGAAGACTTCATCAGTCTGCAGCCTGCCAACCAGATCTGTCCCATAAGTAGCCTTCACTGCTGTGTTTCAAGCCAACCTCCTGTTGGAATCTCAGAAGCAGGCTTTGAACACATGCAAAGGGACCCATGTGTCCAAAACAATCAATCATCATGTATAACAATCAAGTGCTTTAGGCCAGATGGCCGACTTGGCCTACTCACAGAAACCGCCTGAGGACAACCAAGGCCAAAATGGTTCCGAAAAAAGGTTTGTAGGCTCAATTATCCAGGTAGATAACAAAAAAAAGAAAGGTTAAATCATGTCATCTGGACCAGTTTACTCACGGAGAAGGGGGAACTCCCTGCTCACATTCTCTCTGCTGTGAGATAACATATTTACCGGTACCCTACACAGAAAGATTTTTTTAAACTTTGATTTCATTTGAAGTCATCTCAGGGCACTGCACAGAAACATTCGCATTCATAAAAAGTCAGTAAATACCGTTATTTATTTAAGGAGCCAGAGATTTTTAAACAGAAGCTAAACTGTCTATCTTGGGGGGGATGATCTCGGTACTTTATTGGACATTCGGGTAATTTCTGGTCACATGGCCAGAGTGAGATTATGGGTATTTAGTAGTAAAATTGGAACCATGAGCGACAGAGGTACCCGTCATGAATACATGTGGCATACACTGTATGTCACAAAATCCTGCCTCCAAGAGGGTGGTGTGCTATATGAGTGCTCAAGAGTGTTAAGCGAAAATGTTAGTTGATGGTAGGAAGTTTAGCAGCCTGTCAAAATAAAATATTGAAGTGCATAGATTAGCCACTGCTGTGTACATGCTGCTGAGTCTAAGGTATGAGGAAAAAAGTAGCGGTGGCATCTTGTAATGAATCTGTAAAGTAGTTGGTCTTAACTGTTTTTCTAGTTGTATTGTTTTTGATTAAATAATTTAAACCCAGCAAATAATAAACCTATACAGCAGATTTTAAAGCAGGCTTTATAAAAAAATGTAAAAAAGTTAAATCTCACAGCTTCAGAATGTACCCCCACCCCCATATTCTCTAAATATAATTTAGTGTTGGAAATTTTTTGGCATCTTTTGATTTAATTGTGATTCAGAGCACTGGGATGTAATTATAAAACAATTATTGATACATCCACAGTCTCTTAAAACATAATCCAGGATATAAAATCTCTCAGACCTAAAATAAACACATTATTTTGCTCTATGCTGCAGAATTAAAAGCGATTATGGAAACTAAATGAACAAAAGGAGTGAAAATGCTGAGTGCGGGGATTTTGTGGCAAAGGATGTCCATGTTAGAGCTGTCTTACCTACTTTCTTCTGTTTTCACAGCTCTTTTTTGTTATGTTGTGGTGTGGGAAATGTCCTGTTAGTATTTTTGTCACAAGTGGCTCCAACGTTCAAAACTTGGAGCACAACCACTAAATGTGGACGCATATCTTTCACAGTGAAAGTTGCTTCAGACTGTTTGCTTCACAGTTATTGAGTTCGTTGTAAACTTTGATGTCCTCTGTTAGCAGCAGCAAGGAGCTACTTCCGGCTGTGTTACCTTCTTCCTCCTCCAGATGGAAAGATCTACACAACTTTCATGTAGAGTGGCTCTTGTCGACGTCATTTTTCCATTTAACTTAACAGAAGGCAAAATACTTCCAAACACTGACTGTCAATAGAAATCAAAGGAGCTGTTTGTTTGTCGCGGTCAGCCATTTTGTTCTCTTCTCTGGTGTGTGCATGCCAAAGATTTTAGACATTTTAAAATGTATTCCAAATTGTTAATGTACACATTGGGATTCATCAATAAATAGACTGTAACACCCAGCCCTAGTATGTGTCCATCAGGGTGATTAGTGGTAAGCTATGAGTGTATGGTGGTTGGGATGTTATCTTTGATCATATTAGTGTTCAGAGTTACACGAGGTTGGTATGAATTGTCATTTGACTCCAACGGTGTTTTCAAAACCTGCTTTATTTAGAGCCATTAACTTTTGCACACACCTGAACGTGTGTATTTGCAGTTTTTGGATCGATTTTATTATTTAGGAACATTTTATCATACATCTATGAATGAATGTTTTTGTTCCATACAAGAGGGTTTGGATGACTTTGTCATTTTAAATGAATGAATTACCTTTTTAATTTTCTCCAGCTTGTGCGGATTGCAAAAGTACTTGGCACAGAGGACCTGTATGACTACATCGACAAGTACAACATTGAGTTGGATCCACGGTTTAACGACATTCTGGGAAGGTTCGCTTTTTATTTTCTTTCTTTCTTTTTTTTTGCTTTGTTTAAAGAAAGGGTTAAATTCAGCCGCAGGGTCTAATAGAGCTTTTTCGCTTTCATTGTTTATTTTCTTCATTTGTGCTTCACTCAGACATTCTCGCAAAAGATGGGAGAGGTTCGTGCACAGTGAGAACCAGCACCTGGTCAGCACAGAGGCTCTAGACTTCCTGGACAAACTGCTGCGCTACGACCATCAAGTTCGCCTCACGGCCAGAGAGGCCATGGATCATCCCTACTTCTGTACGTTTGCTTTCTCGCCTCACTCGGTCCTTGAATGTGTCGCCACAAATGAGAGAACACTTTGTCAGATCGACGCTTGTGTGAACCAACGTAATTAATGAGGCGCTCCCAACCATTCATGTTCTCAGATCCCATCGTCAAAGATCAGGGAAGAGGGGCCACTCCTGGGGGGATGGCTGCCAGCTCCACTCCAGTCAGCTCCTCAAGTATGATGGCTGGTAAGTTCTGTCAGTTGTGGCCTCGTGCTTTTGCAGTTTACAGTAGTCCCTCGTTTATTGTGGGGGTTAGGTTCCACCCCCCCTGCAACAAGTGAAAATCTACAAAGTAGCGACGTTATATTTATTTTAATATTTATATATGTTAAGGCTTTAGAAACCCTTTCCACACTCTTACAATGTTCTAAACTCTTAAACCTACGTCATTTTAACAACATACGTACAGGACTGTATATGCAGCTACTAAATTTTACTCACCAGTTAGACAGAACAGGAGCGGCTCTCGGTTCCGGTCCGACTGTTCCAGTCCGACTCCGTTCGTTTCTTCAGACATACCCTGCAGTGATGAGGCCCACAATCAATCTTCTAAACTCTTAAACCTACTAATTTTAACAACATACTTAAATGTAGCTAATAAATTTTGGTATTTACCAGTGCGTCCCCGCTCGGAGGTCCACGTGGGCTGACTAGGAGCTCTCAAGATTCACAGATGGGTCTGGAGGTCTGGTTCGGTTAGGTGGGTTCAGTATGGCTTCTCTGCATCTGCTCGGTGCCCATCAGAACAAAACCTTTAGTTTTTCAGCAGAAGGAAACGGGGCTTCTTGGTTAATGGTTTATGAACAAATAAGCACAACTGAACAAGAAGTATAAAATAACTTTCCTGTAAACACAAAGTATTAAAAATACAATCTCTTACAAATGAAATGGTCACGTTTGAGTTGTCAAATATTCCCTTGTAAATAAAACTAAATAATAAAAAATAAATTTCACATTTGCTATTTGGAGAAGTAAACAATGAGTTGTGCAAATATGGCATGTGCAAAGGCCTACCTCTGTAAAGGCCTTAGAGGTATCTCTTGTAAACAGTTAAAGACTAAATAATTCTATTATGTGTTTTTTTTTCTTTCAACCTTTATTTAGACAGGTAAATCCCATTGAGCCTCGAGGACTCATTTAAAGAGAGACCTGATTTCAACAAAGAATGATGACGACAATGGACAACAGCGACAACAATAAACAGTTATAAAAAGTCATACAATTTTTTTTATTTTTTACAAATAGGATCGCTAAAAAAGAAAAGTAACAGAGTGTAAAGGCCCATCTCTGTGTAAATGCCTTACAGGTAGTGTCAGCTCTGCTGCTGCCGCTTCAACATTCAAAATTTCCTCCATTTTCTCAACCGCACTGTCTCTTTTGCTTCTTGTTACAGACTGGATGGAGTGGAGTCATGTGACTACAGACTGCACGTAGCACAATGTCTTAAAGGGACATGAGCATAGCTAACCTATACACAGCCAAAAGACAAAACAACTTTTATTTTTTTAAAACGCCGAAAATACCGATATGGGCAAAAGGACGTCGATCATTGTTATAAATTTCGGTGTCGGTTAATTTTCGGTATGTTGCCCAGCCCTACCCTGTTGCCTTCTGGGAAATGTGGTAGTTGTGAGCAGGAATAAAGTGCAGATTAACTGAGAGAAAACTACAAAAATGGTGACGCCTGTCCAAAGTATTTTATTTTTTCGTTAACTTTTTACTGTACAGTACTGTATCCAGTACTGTCCCAATCACGTGAGTAATATTAAAGTAGACAATCGTGTCCTGTACAGTTTTTTTTTTTTTGTACAATATGTACTGTATGTTCACAAACCGTGATAGAGCGAGGCCGCGAAAGTCGAACCACGAAGTATCAAGGGACTACTGTACTGTTAAAGATGACAAAGAAGTCCGATTTATATATGTCTGACAAAGACTGACGTGTTAAAATAAGACGTTTTGTTTTGAATAAGCTTCTCTTCTGTTTCAGGCATCAACTCCATGTCCTCCTCACAGCCACTGGCTAACATTGCTGGATCCCCCGTCATCTCTGCCCCCAACACTCTGGCCACACAAGTCCCCGCAGCCACCGGGGCCCAGCCCTGAAACAGCTTCCTCACCTGTGTTAATGTGTGCTCGTGGTCATGTCCTGGGTCCCAAGGCCATGGCTCCCCTTTTTATGTTGGGAAAAAAATTTAAAAAAGATGATTTAAATAAAAAAATAATAAAAAAAATTTGCTTTTCACATTCAGTTGTATTTTGACACCTGGACTTGACAGAAATGCATTGTTGCACCTGTCACGTCGATTAGAAATTAATTTGGGTGTGTTATTTGACAATGCCATTGTCTAGAAATTCTAATGAGATGTAGACATAAAGAGAATGGATAATAAAATTTATTTTGTATGTTCCAAATATACAGTCTTGCTTGAAATTGTTTTGATGGGGAATCCTGCTGTATTACACTGTGAACCTTGACATGGCTTCACAAAACGACAGGTTCGGGGAGTCTGGTGTGTCCCGCCCCAACAAAGCTCGCCGGTTGCACACATTGTAATGTGCAGGAGTTAGTGTTTTTTTTTTTCTTTTTAAGTTGTTTAGATGCTATTATCACTCTTCAATTGGACTTCTTTTGTAGATATTCTACAGTTACTGTCAGGTTGCATGCACCCAATGCTGAGTTTCACAGGGTCGATAGATTGCCAATTTTATGTTACTTTCACTTCTGTATGTGTATGTAAGTGTCCATGTTTGTTTTTTATGAAGTCTCTTACACTTGATTTTGATTACATAGACAATTTTGTAACGTTTTTGTTTTATGTTGGGAGGAGTCATCAACTTCGGGAAAAACAACTTCAGAAATAAACAATTTAAAAAGGGCTTTTCAGGCACCACACGTTCTTGACTGCAACCTAACAACTGGTCGTGTCAACCTAAACGGATGGATTTCAAGTGAAGCAGCTTTCATATCTCATGTGTTGCATCAGGTGTGCACTTCATAATTCCAATTGGCCAAATACATTTTATGAGGGCACTGTATGTCAGTTGATAGAGCTGCTGCCTCTCAGCGAGCGGGTCGCCCCAGTTCAAATCTCAGCCGGGGGTCCTTCTAGGTGGAGTTTGCATGTTCTCTCCGTGCATGTGTGGGTGTTATGATCATTTTTTTAGGATTTGAGTTGTTTTAAGATGGCATGCAGCAACTTTGGTCTTGACTCCACTTATAGCTCGTTAATTAGCTCAGAATTTAACTTCTGTCCTAACTGGGATTGTTTAAAGAGCTATAAATGTACTGTACTTACATAGCGCCTTTCTATCTTATTTCAAGATACTCAAAGCGTTTTACACTACAATCTGTGTCCTCATTTACCCATTCACCCAGCACTCTACTAGATCTCTACAAAGCTAATTGAACAAATCATTCCAAAGAGACTAATCAGTCACATTCATACACTGATGGGACGCACATCAGAGGCTTTGAGGGGTTCAGTGTTTTGCCCAGGGACACTTCAGCATGTGACTGCTGGTGGATTCGAACCCCCAACTCTTGCATTGGAGGACGACTGCTCTAACCACTCAGCCACTGCCGCCCAATCTATCTGGGCTATTTTTTCACAACCCTTCCAAAGAACCCCACGTCACGACATCTGAACTTGTCTCTAAAGAAGCACGAGGGTTTGCTTTGTAAACAATATAAAAGCACACCTTTGTTAAAAATGTTCAAAACTGGGAATGTGAGTCAGTTTAACGTCTATACTTTTTTGTCTTTATTAAATCTAAACACTAAAGTGACCCCAGTTGTTCTAGAAGAGATAAGAGGTTAAAATTACAGACGTGGATGACCCTGTTATTAGGCAAGTATGCCTTTGGGATAAAAGGTTGAACAACAGTTGTGTTCTGTTTGTCACATTCCTCAGCTGTGTCCCATATTTACTGAGATAAGAGCCACACAGTCGAAACTGGGCCCTTCAAGAAATGAACATTTAGAAAGACTCAAAAATGTCCCTTTCTTAGACTTGATTGTGCACCTTTTTAGATATATTTTAAAATGTATTAGAGTTTGTTTTATGGCTCTTTGTAATGTTCATATTTTCAACAACTCTATTAAACTGCCTGGGAATGATGATCAGAAGAAATGGAAATTTAGACATTATTTTAATGATTTTATTCAGTTAGTCAATCTAATCTGTGTTTTGCATGACATATCTTGTGGTCGATTTTTAAGTTTTGGTAGCACTTTTAGTCGTCTCCACGCGACTGCTTTTTATTTAAAAATTTAGTTGCATTGATTCAGTCTGTGGCCTTTTATTTTGGTGTTGCATTTATACCTTTGGTTTCGTGAAATTTCACATTTTCTCTTTCATTCATGTAGTTTTTGCTGTTGTTTCTCATTGGCTTGTTAGTTTCTTGGCCTTTTCTGGTAATTTTGTGCTTCTTTTAGCTTCTTTTTAATTTTATTCTCGACGTTTTTGCATCTAGTCTACAATTAGTTTTCAAAATTAAGATGCATTCAGGTACTTTTTTTAATGTCGATGATTACACCATGTGGCGCTCACATGAAAAACAAACCAAACAATTTTCTGATTTAAATTAGCTTCAAGCTAAATTATTTCACACAACATGCTCTATTTAAATCGAATCCCATAAAAATAGATACATTTTAAGTAAATGCGAAGCGAAGTGTTTCTAGGGCGCAGTCAAAGAGCAACGGAGCGAAATCGATCAAAGAAAGCCGAGTTTATGTGTGTCCGATGGTTGTGAACGCAGCACCAGTTGTTTTCTAGCAGGCGTGGCTCGCTCGTGCTGCTGCAGATCTACTTCTTCTTGTTGATGAGAATGGGGAAAGTTGCTTTAATTTCAGTAGCAGTGGCCGTGCTGTCGGTGCTGCTTGGAGAGAGGCTCGTCAATTTAAGGTAAAGTAAATTCAGCTCCGTTTTGAGCGTCTTAAAAACAGTTAAAAAGTTTGCTTCAGTCTGTCATTGTGTCCTGCAGCAAAAGGTATCTCGCCTTCAGGGAGGTAACTCCAAATCATCTGCCCAACTGTGTCACACTCAAAAAGATAGGTGAGAATTTTAGCATCACGTTAAGGAAATTTAAGAAGATTTCTCTTTAATAGCGTTTCTCTGTCCAGATCACGGGTCCGAGGATATAACTGTCATGGGACACGGGCTGGCCTTCATCAGCACTGTGAGTGTTGTAATTTAAAAGTCTGCAGGTCCAACTCACCTAAGACAGAACACAATCGTGCAGCAAATGGAATGATTTTTCAATGCCATATGTTTCGGCTGCTTTAAGGGGCTCAAATACCCTGGACTGCCATCCTCAGACATGCCAGGGAAAATCTACACCCTTGACCTCAAAGATCCTCTTTTGAAACCACTGGAGCTGCGAATGCCAAGAAACTTTGACCTGGACTCCTTCAACCCTCACGGCATCAGTTTGTTCGTAGATCCAAGTGGTAAGTCTGTTGGCAAAATATCTCCTGAGCCACAGTTTTACTGAAAATAATCATCGGATGTACCACAACTTGCATTTCCCATCCAATTTTTGACGTTACTTTACAGTGATTGGGGGGATTCGAACCGGCAACCTTCTAATCGCAGGCTGTCCTTCTCTAGCCTCTGTGCCACCACTCCTCACCGTTTGATATATATTTTGCTAAAACTTGGTGTGGTAGTAGTTGAGAGTCATTCAGAACTTATCTGAGGGAGGCATATTTACGGTCTGACTTATTTGTCCGTTAGCAAAATATTTCATGATTCACTGGACAGATTTGAATGAAACTTGCAGAAATTAATCATTGGATGTACATCTACAACTTTTAGAGTCTTAATTCATGAGGGCAGCCCCAGCTAATCAACGTTCTGCTCTTTCAGGACAATCCTGCGATGACTTTTGGTATTGGTTCAGCTTTAGCTTTTTCAAATATTTAGCCTGTTTTCAGATCAATTCAAGTTTTTCATTCTTTTACTTTCAGCCTAGTTAACTTATTTCTGCTAATTTCAGCTGGTTATGGTCCGTTCAGCTTATTTATGCTAGTTTCAATTATTTCAGCTACTATTTAGCTGTTTTTATTTTTTTCAGCTGATTCCATATTTTTGGCACTCATTTCCACTCGTTTCAGCCTGAGTCAGCAACAATGTGCTGTCTCGACTTGCTTCTGGTAATTTAAGATTCTTTCTGCTTTTTTAGCTGATTTTTTTTTTTTTTTTT